TTAATACTCTTCAGTAACTCTTAGTAACTCTTCAGTAATTCTTCAGTAACTCGTAATAACTCTTTAGTAACTTTTAGTAACTCTTAAGTAATTTTTAGTAACTCTTCAGTAACTTTTAGTAACTTTTCACTAACTCTTTAGTAACTCTTAGTAACTCTTTAGTAACTCTTAAGTAACTCTTAGTAACTCTTTAGTAACTCTTCAGTAACTCTTACTAATTCTTAGTAACTCTTTAGTAACTCTCAGTAACTCTTCAGTAACTTTTAGTAACGCTTTAGTAACTCTTAGTAACTCTTCAGTAACTCTTCAGTACTCTGGGTAACTTTTCAGTAACTTTTAAGTAACTCTTACTAACACTTCAGTAACTCTTAGTAACTTTTCAGTAATTTTTAGTAACTTTTCAGTAACTCTTTAGTAACTTTATAGTAACTCTTAGTAACTTTTAGTAACTCTTATGTAACTCTTAGTAACTCTTCAGTACTCTTAATAACTCTTTAGTAACTTTATAGTAACTCTTAGAAACTTTTAGTAACTTTAGTAAATCTTTAGTAACTCTTCAGTAACTTTTTAGTAACTCTTATTAACTTTTAGTAACTTTTAGTCACTCTTCAGAAACTCTCAGTAAGTCTTCAGTAACTCTTAGTAACTCTTCAGTAACTTTTCAATAACTCTTTAGTAACTCTTAGTAACTTTTAGTAACTTTTAGTAACTCTTCAGTAACTCTTAGTAACTCTTTAGTAACTTTATAGTAACTCTTAGTAACTTTTAGTAACTCTTCAGTAACTCTTAGTAACTCTTAAGTAACTCTTCAGTAACTTTTAGTAACGTTTCAGTAACTCTTAAGTAACTCTTAGTAAATTTTAGTAACACTTAGTAACTCTCCAGTAACTCTTAGTAACTCTTAGTAACAGTAACTTTTAATAAATTTTAGTAACTCTTCAATAACTCATCAGTAACTCTTCGTAATTCTTCAGTAACTCTTCAATAACTCTTTTTAACTTTTAGTAACTCTTCAGTAATTCTTTAGTAACTCTTAGTAACTCTTTCTAACTTTTATTAACTCTTTAGTAACTTTTCAATAACTATTTAGTAACTTTTTAGTAACACTTCATTAACTCTTAGTAACTCTTTAGTAATTCTTCAATAACTCTTAGTAACTCTTCAGTAACTTTTAGTAACTTTTCAGTAACTCTTCAGTAACTCTTCAGTAACTTTTAGTAACATTTCAGTAACTCTTAGTCACTCTTGAGTAACTCTTTAGTAGGTTTTAGTAACTCTTTAGTAACTCTTAGTCACTCTTCAGTAACTCTTCAATAACTGTTAGTAACTTTTCACTAACTCTTAGTAACTTTTAACAACTCTTCAGTAACTTTTAGTGACTCTTTAGTAACTGTTAGTAATACTTTAGTAACTCTTCAGTAACTCTTAATAACTCTTTAGTAACTCTTCAATAACTTTTAGTAACTCTCTAGTAGCTTTTAATAACTCTTTAGTAACTCTTCAATAACTCTTAGTAACTCTTCGTTACTCTTCAATAACTTTTAGTAACTTTTCACTAACTCTTTAGTAAATCTTAGTAACTTTTAATAACTCTTCACTAACTTTTTGTAACTCTTTAGTAACCTTAGTAAATCTTTAATAACTCTTCAGTGCCTTTTAGTAACTCTTTAGTAACTCTTCAATAAATCTTAGTAACTCTTAGTAACTCTTCAGTAACTCTAAGTAACTCTTAGTAATTCTTAGTAACTCTTCAGTAACTTTTCAGTTACTCTTCAGTTACTTTTAGTAACTTTTCAGTAACTCTTAGTAACTCTTCAGTAACTCTTAGTAACTCTTCAGTAACTCTTAGTAACTCTTTAGTAACTCTTGAGTAACTGTTAGTAACCTTTAGTAACTCATAGTAACTTTTAGTATCTTTTAGTAACTCTTTAGTAACCTTTTCAGTAACTCTTCAGTAACACTTATTAATTCTTAGTAACTCTTAGTAACTCTTCAGTAACTTTTAGCAACGCTTTAGTATTTCTTAGTAACTCTTCAGCAACTCTTCAGTACTCTTAGTAACTTTTCAGTAACTTTTAAGTAACTCTTAGTAACTCTTCAATAACTCTTTAGTAACTTTATAGTAACTCTTAGTAACTTTTAGTAACTCTTCTGTAACTCTTAGTAACTCTTCAGAACTCTTAGTAACTCTTTAGTAACTTTATAGTAACTCTTAGTAACCTTTAGTAACTTTAGTAACTCTTAAGTAACTCTTCAGTAACTTTTTAGTAACTCTTATTAACTTTTAGTAACTTTTAGTCACTCTTCAGTAACTCTCAATAACTCTTCAGTAACTCTTAGTAACTCTTCAGTAACTTTTCAATAACTTTTCAGTAAATCTTCACTAACTCTTCAGTAACTTTTAGTAACTCTTCAGTAACTCTTCAATAACTCTTAGTAACTCTTCAGAACTCTTAGTAACTCTTTAGTAAGTTTATAGTAACTCTTAGTAACTTTTAGTAACACTTAGTAACTCTCCAGTAACTCTTAGTAATTCTTCAGTAACTCTTAGTAACAGTAACTCTTAATAACTTTTAGTAACTCTTCAATAACTCATCAGTAACTCTTCGTAATTCTTCAGTAACTTTTCAGTAACCCTTCAGTAACTCTTAGTAACTCTTCAATAACTCTTATTAAGTTTTAGTAACTCTTCAGTAACTCTTTAGTAACTCTTCAGTAACTTTCAATAACTCTTTATAACTTTTATTAACTCTTCAGTAGCTTTTCAATAACTCTTAATAACTCTTTAGTAACTTTTTAGTAACACTTCAGTAACTCTTAGTAACTCTTCAGTAATTCTTCAGTAACTCTTAGTAACTCTTCAATAACGCTTCAATAACTCTTCATTAACTTTTAGTAACTTTTCAGTAACTCTTCAGTAACTCTTAGTCACTATTGAGTAACACTTTAGTAGCATTTAGTAAATCTTTAGTAACTCTCTAGTAACTATTAGTAAGTCTTAGTCACTCTTCTGTAACTCTTCAGTAACTTTTAGTAACTTTTCCATAACTTTTCAGTAACTTTTCAGTAACTCTTCAGTAACTTTTAGTAACATTTTAGAAACTCTTCAGTAACTCTTAGTCACTCTTGAGTAACTCTTTAGTAGCTTTTATTAACTCTTTAGTAACTCTTGAGTAAATCTTAGTAACTCTTAGTCTCTCTTTAGTAACTTTTCAATAACTTTTAGTAACTCTTAGTAACTTTAAATAACTCTTCAGTAAATTTTAGTAACTCTTTAGTAACTCATAGTAACTCTTTAGTAACTTTTAGTAACTCTTAATAACTCTTTAGTAACTCTTCATTAACTTTTAGTAACTCTTTAGTAGCTTTTAATAACTCTTTAGTAACTCTTCAATAACTCTTAGTAACTCTTCGAAACTCTTCAATAACTTTTGGTAACTTTTCACTAACTCTTTAGTAAATCTTAGTAACTTTTAATAACTCTTCAGTAACTTTTAGTAACTCTTAGTAACTCTTTAGTAACTCTTCAGTACCTTTTCTTAACTCTTTAGTAACTCTTCAATAACTCTTACTAACTCTTAGTAACTCTTCAGTAACTCTAAGTAACTCTTAGTAACTCTTCAGTAACTTTTAGTTACTTTTCAGTTACTCTTCAGTTAGTTTTAATAACTTTTCAGTAACTCTTAGTAACTCTTCAGTAACTCTTAGTAACTCTTTAGTAACTCTAGAGTAACTCTTAGTAACATTCAGTAACTTTTCAGTAACTCTTTAATAACTCTTAGTAACTTTTAGTAACTCTTTAGTAACTCTTAGTAACTCTTTAGTAATTTTATAGTAACTCTTAGTAACTTTTAGTAACTCTTCAGTAACTGTTAGTAACTCTTTAGTAACTTTTAGTAACTTTTTAGTAACTCTTAAGTAACTCTTAGTAACTTTTAGTAACACTTAGTAAGTCTCCAGTAACTCTTAGTAACTCTTAGTAACTCTTCAGTAACTCTTTAGTAACTCTTTAGTAACTCTTCAGTAACTCTTCAGTAACTCTTCAGTAATGCTTCAGTAACTCTTAGTAACAATAACTCTTAATAACTTTTAGTAACTCTTCAATAACTCATTAGTAACTCTTCGTAATTCTTCAGTAACTTTTCAGTAACCCTTTTGTAACTCTTAGTTACTCTTCAATAACTCTTATTAACTTTTAGTAACACTTTAGTAACACTTTAGTAACTCTTAGTAACTCTTCAGTAACTCTTTGTAACTTTTATTAACTCTTCAGTAACTTTTCAATAACTCTTAATAACTCTTTAGTAACTTTTTAGTAACACTTCAGTAACTCTTAGTAACTTTTTTGTAACTCTTCAATAACTTTTAGTAACTCTTCAGTAACTTTTAGTAACATTTCAGTAACTCTTAGTCACTCTTGAGCAACTCTTTAGTAGATTTTAGTAACTCTTTAGCAACTCTTCAGTAACTCTTAGTAACTCTTAGTCACTCTTTAGTGACTCTTCAGTAACTTTCAGTAACTTTTCAGTAACTCTTCAGTAACTTTTAGTAACACTTCAGTAACTCTTCAGTAACTCTTAGTCACTCTTTAGTAACTCTTTAGTAGCTTTTAGTCACTCTTTAGTAACTTTTCAGTAACTCTTAGTCACTCTTCAGTAACTCTTATTAACTTTTAGTAACTCTTCAGTAACTCTTTAGTAACTCTTAGTAACTCCTCAGTAACTATCAGTAACTCTTTGTAACTTTTATTAACTCTTCAGTAACTTTTCAATAACTCTTAATAACTCTTTAGTAACTTTTTAGTAACACATCAGTAACTCTTAGTAACTCTTCAATAATTCTTCAGTAACTCTTAGTAACTCTTAAGTAACTTTTAGTAACTTTTCAGAAACTCTTAGTAACTCTTCAGTAACTTTTAGTAACATTTCTGTAACTCTTAGTCGCTCTTGAGCAACTCTTTAGTAGCTTTTAGTAACTCCTTAGTAACTCTTTAGTAACTCTTAGTCACTCTTCGAAACTCTTCGAGTAACTTTTAGTAACATTTCAGGTAACTCTTCGATAACTCTTAGTAACTTTTCGTTAACTCTTAGTAACTCTTCGAGTAACTTTTAGTAACATTTCAATAACTCTTAGTCACACTTCAGTAACTCTTCAATAACTTTTAGTAACGTTTCACTAACTCTTTAGTAACACTTAGTAACTTTTAATAACTCTACAGTAAATTTTTGTAACTCTTTAGTAACTCTTAGTAACTCTTTAGTAACTTTCAGTAACTCTTCAGTAACTCTTAATAACTCTTTAGTAACTCTTCAATAACTTTTAGTAACTCTTTAGTAGCTTCAATAACTTTTAGTAACTCTTTAGTAACTTTCAGTAACTCTTTAGTAACTCTTCAGTAACTCTTTAGTAACTCTTTAATACTTCTTTAGTAACTCTTAGTAACTTTTCAGTAACTCTCAATAACTCTTCAGTAACTGTTAGTAACTCTTCAATAACTTTTCAGTAACTTTTAGTAACATTTCAGTAACTCTTAGTCACTCTTGAGTAACTCTTTAGTAGCTTTTAGTAACTCTTCAGTAACTCTTAGTCACTCTTCAATAACTATTCAGCACTCTTAGTAAATTTTCACTAACTCTTTAGTAACATTTAGTAACTTTTAATAACTCTACAGTAACTTTTAGTAACTATTTAGTAAGTCTTAGTAACTCTTTAGTAACTTTTAGTAACTCTTCAGTAACTCTTAATAACTCTTTAGTAACTCTTCAATAACTTTTAGTAACTCTTTAGTAGCTTTTAATAACTCTTTAGTAACTCTTCAATAACTCTTCGTAACTCTTCAATAACTTTTAGTAACTTTTCACTAACTCTTCGTAACTCTTCAATAACTTTTAGTAACTTTTCACTAACTCTTTAGTAAATCTTAGTAACTTGTAATAACTCTTCAGTAACTTTTAATAACTCTTTAGTAACTCTTAGACTCTTTAGTAACTCTTTAGTAACTTTTACTAACTCTTTAGTAACTCTTAGTAACTCTTCCAAAACTCTAAGTAACTCTTAGTAACTCTTCAGTAACTTTTCAGTAACTCTTAGTAACTCTTCATTAAGTCTTAGTAACTCTTCGGTAACACTTAGTAATTCTTATTTACTCTTCGGTAACTCTTTAGTAACTTTTAGTAACACTTCAGCAACTCTTTGTAACTTTTAGTAACTCTTCAGTAACTCTTCAGTAACTCTTAGTAACTCTTTTGTAACTTTATAGTAACTCTTAGTAACTTTAGTAACTCATCAGTAACTCTTCGTATCTCTTCAATAACTTTTTAGTTACTTTTAGTAACTTTTCAGTAACTTTTAGTAACTTTTAGTAAATCTTAGTAACTCTACACTAACTCTTAGTAACTCTTTAATAACTCTTACTAAATTTTAATAACTCTGAGTAACTTTTAGTAACTCTTCAGTAACTTTTAGTAACTTTTCAGTAACTCTTCAGTAACTCTTTAGTAACTCTTAGTATGTTTTAGTAACTCTTCAGTAACTCTTAGTAACTCTAAGTAACTCTTCAATAACTCTTAGTAACTCTTAGTAACTCTTTAGTAACTCTTAGTAACTTTTACTAACTCTTCAGTAACTTTTAGTAACTCTTCAGTAACTTTTCAGTAACTCTTTAGTAACTGTTAGTAACTTTTAGTAACTCTTCAGTAACTCTTAGTAACTCTTAGTAAGTCTCTAGTAACTCTTCAGTAAGTCTTAGTAACTCTTAGTAACTCTTAATAACTCTCTAGTAACTCTTCAGTAAGTCTTAGTAACTTTTCACTAACTCTTTAGTAACTCTTAGTAACTTTTAGTAACTCTTCAGTAACTCTTAGTAACTCTTCAATAACTCTTTAGTAACTTTATAGTAACTCTTAGTAACTTTTAGTAACTTTAGTAACTCTTCAGTAACTCTTCAGTAACTCTTCAGTAACTTTTCAGTAACTCTTAGCAACTTTTAGTAAATCTTAGTAACTCTACAGTAACTCTTAGTAACTCTTTAATAACTCTTACTAAATTTTAGTAACTCTTAGTAACTTTTAGTAACACTTGAGTAACTCTTAGTAACTCTTCAATAACTCTTCAGCACTCTTAGTAACTTTTCACTAACTCTTTAGTAACTCGTAGTAACTTTTAGTAACTCTTAGTAACTTTTAGTAACTTTAGTAACTCTTCTTAACTCTTCAGTAACTCTAAGAAACTCTTTAGTAAATCTTTAGTAACTCTTAGTAACTCTTTAGTAACTCTTGAGTATTTCTTTGTAATTTTTAGTAACTCTTCAGTAACTCTTAGTAACTCTTTAGTAACTTTTAGTAACTTTTCAGTAAATCTTCAATAACTCTTAGTAACTCTTCAATAACTCTTCAGTAATTCTTAGTAACTCTTCAGTATCTTTTCAGTAACTTTTAGTAACTTTTCAGTAACTCTTCAGTAACTCTTAGTAACTTTTCAGTAACTCTTCAGTAACTCTTAGTAACTCTTCAATAACTCTTAGTAACTCTTTAGTAACTCTTAGTAACTCTTAATAACTTTTAGTAACTCTTCAGTAACTCTTTAGTAACTTTTTAGTAACTCTTTATTAACTCTTAGTAACTCTTCAGTAACTCTTCATAAATCTTTAGTAACTCTTAGTAACTCTTCAGTAACTCTTCAGTAACACTTTAGTAACTTTTAGTAACTATTAGTAACTCTTAGTAACTCTTAGTAACTCTTCAATAAATCTTCAGTAATTTTTAGTAACTCTTTAGTAACTCTTAATAACTCTTCAGTGACTCTTAGTAACTCTTTAGAAACTCTTGAGTAACTCTTAGTAACTTTTAGTAACTCTTGAGTAACTCTTTGTAACTTTTAGTAACTTTTAGTAATTCTTAGTAACTCTTCAGTAACTTTTAGTAACTCTTCAGTAACTCTTCAATAACTCTTGAGTAACCTGTTAGTAACTCTTAGTAACTTTTCAGTAACTGTCAGTAACTCTTAGTAACTCTTCAATAATTTTTAGTAACTTTTCAGTAACTGTTTAGTAACTCTTAATAAGTCTTTAGTAACTCTTAGTAACTCTTCAGTAACTCTTCAATAACTTTTAGTAACTTTTAGAAACTCTTCTGTAACTCTTAGTAACTCTTCAGTAACTATTAGTAAATCTTCAGTAACTTTTAGTAACTTTTCAGTAATTCTTTAGTAACTTTTCAGTAACTTTTAGTAACACTTTAGTAACTTTTAGTAACACTTTAGTAACTCTTCAGTACTTTTAGTAACTCTTAGCAACTTTTAGTAATACTTTAGTAATTCTTCAGTACTTTTACTGACTCTTAGTAACTTTTAGTAACTCTTCAGTAACTTTTAGTAACTTTTCAGTAAGTCTTCAATAACTCTTAGTAACTCTTTAGTAACTCTTCATTAACTCTTAGTAACTCTTAGTAACTCTCAAGTAACTCTTAGCAACTTTTAGTAACTCTTAAGTAACTCTTAGTAACTCTTGAGTAACTTTTAGTAACTTTTCAGTAACTCTTCAGTAACTTTTCAGTAACTCGTAGTAACTCTTAGTAAGTTTTAGTAACTTGTAGTAACTCTTAAGTAACTCTTAGTAAATTTTAGTAACTCTTCAGTAACTTTTAGTAACTCTTCAGCAACTTTAAGTAACTTTTCTATAAATCTTTAGTAACTTGTAGTAACTCTTCAGTAACTCTTAGTAAATCTTTAGTAACTCTTCAGTAACTCTTAGTAACTATTCAGTAACTCTTTAGTAGCTCTTCAGTAACTCTTTTGTAACCGTTTATTAACTCTGAGTAACTTTTAGTAACCTTTAGTAATTTTTCATTAACTCTACAGTAACTCTTAGTAATTCTTCAGTAACTCTTCAGTAACTCTTTAGTAACTCTTAGTAACTTTTAGTAACTCTTCAGTAACTCTTCAGTAACTCTTTAGTAACTCTTAGTAACTTTTAGTATCTCTTCAGTAAGTCTTAGTAAATCTGTAGTAACTCTTCAGTAACTCTTAGTAACTATTCAGTAACTCTTTAGCAGCTCTTCAGTAACTCTTTAGTATCCTTTTATTAACTCTGAGTAACTTTTAGTAACCTTTAGTAATTTTTCAGTAACTCTTCAGTAACTCTTAGTAATACTTCAGTAACTCTTTAGTAACTCTTAGTAACTTTTAGTAACTCTTCGTAACTCTTCAGTAACTTTTAGTAACTCTTCAGTAACTCTTAGTAACTTTTAAGTAACTCTTCAGAAACTCTTCAGCTCTTAGTAACTTTTAAGTAACTCTTAGAAACTTTTAGTAACTCTTCAGTAACTAATAGTAAATCTTCAGTAATTCTTAGTAACTCTTCAGTAACTCTTAGTAATTCTTTAGTAACTCTTAGTAACTATTCAGTAACTCTTAGTAACTCTTTAGTAATTCTTTAGCAGCTCTTCAGTAACTCTTTAGTAACTTTTAGCAACTTTTAAGTAACTCTTCAATAACTCTTAGTAACTCTTCATTAATTCTTCAGTAACTCTTAGTAACTCTTCAGTAACTCCAAGTAACTCTTAGTAACTTTTAGTAACATTTAGTAACTCTTCAGTAACATTTCAGTAACTCTTAGTAATTCTTTAGTAACTTTTAGCAACTCTTCAGTAACTCTTAGTAACTCTTCAGTAATTCTTTAGCAGCTCTTTTGAAACTCTTTAGTAACCTTTTAGTAACTCTTATTAACTTTTAGTAACTTTTAGTAACTCTTCAGTAACTTTTGGTAACTTTTCAGTAACTATTTAGTAACTCTTAGTAACTTTTAGTAACTCTTCAGTAACTCTTCAGTAAATATTTAGTAACTCTTCAGTAACTTTTAGTAACACTTTAGTAACTCTTAGTAACTTTTAGTACTTTTAGTAAATCTTAGTAACTTTTAGTATCTTTTAGTAACTCTTCAGTAATTCTTCAGTAACTCTTAGTAACTTTTCAGTAACTCTTCAGTAACTTTTAGTAACTCTTCAATAACTCTTTAGTAACTCTTAGTAACTCTTAGTAACTCTAAGTAAATCTTCAGTAAATCTTTAGTAACTCTTGAGAAAAAATCAGTACGCACTTTTTTTGGAGTTTCCAGTGGCCCAACTCTTGGTCAGCACGCACCTAAAATCATAGGATTCAACAGAAAAAATCAGCAAGGCAAAATGTTAATTCTAGCTATGTGAACCACCCTAGAAAAGTTTGGAAAAATAGAGCAATAAAACTTAAAAAATAAAAAAGAAATATTAAACGACCTTTTTTTGGAGTTTCCAGTGGGAAAACTCTTGCTCAACATGCACCTAAAATCACAAGATTCAATAGAAAAAATCAGCAAGGCAAAATGCTAAGTCTAGCTATGTGAACCACCCCAGAAAAGTTTTGAAAAATAGGGCAATAAAACTTCAAAAATAAAAAAGAAATAGTAAACGGCCTTTTTTTGGAGTTTCTAGTGGGGCAACTCTTGGTCAGCATGCACCTAAAATCATAGGATTCAACAGAAAAAATCAGCAAGGCAAAATGCTAAGTCTAGCTATGTGAACCACCCTAGAAAAGTTTGGAAAAATAGGGCAATAAAACTTCAAAAAAAAAAAAGAAATAGTAAACGACCTTTTTTTGGAGTTTCTGGTGGGGCAACTCTCCGTCAAAATGCACCTAAAATCATAGGATTCAACAGAAAAAATCAGCAAGGCAAAATGCTAAATCTAGTTATGTGAACCACCCTAGAAAAGTTTGGAAAAATAGGGCAATAAAATTTCTAAAATAAAAATCAGCTAAAATCATAGGATTCAATAGGTAAACTCTTGGTCAGCATACACCTAAAATCATAGGATTCAATAGAAAAAATCAGCTAGGCAAACTGCTAAGTCTAGCTATGTGAGTCACCTTAGAAATGTTTAGAAAAATTGGGCAATAAAATTTCAGAAATAAAAAAGAAATAGTAAACGACCATTTTTTGGAGTTTCCAATGGGGCAACACTTGGTCAGCATGCACCTAAAATCATAGGATTCAACAGAAAAAATCACCAAGGGAAAATGCTAAGTCTAGCTATGTGAACCACCCCGGAAAAGTTTGGAAGAATAGGGCAATTAAACTTCAAAAGTAAAAAAGAAAATGTAAACGACCTTTTTTTTGAACTTCTAATGGGGCAACTCTTGGTCAGCATGCACCTAAAATCATAGGATTCAACAGAAAAAATCAGCAAGGAAAAATGGTAAGTCTAGCTATGTGAACCACCCTAGAAAAATTTGGAAAAATAGGGCAATAAAACTTCAAAAATAAAAAAGAAATAGTAAACGACTTTTTTTTGGAGTTTCCAGTGGGGCAACTTTTGGTCACCATGCACCTAAAATCATAGGATTCAACAGAAAAAATCAGCAAGGCAAAATGTTAAGTCTAGCTATGTGAACCACCCCAGAAAAGTTTGGAAAAATAGTGCAATAAAACTTCAAAAATAAAATAGAAAAAGTAAACGGCCTTTTTTTGGAGTTTCCAATGGGGCAACTCTTGATCAGCATGCACCTAAAATCATAAGATTCAACAGAAAAAATCAGCAAGAAAAAAACTAAGTCTAGCTATGTGAACCACGCTAGAAAAGTTTGGAAAAATAGGGCAATAAAACTTGAAAAATAAAAAACGAAATAGTAAACGGCATTTTTTTGAGTTACCAGTGGAATGGGGCAACTCTTGGTCAGCATGCACCTAAAAATCATAGGATTCAACAGAAAAAATCAGAAAGCCAAAATGCTAAGTCTACCTATGTGAACCACCATAGAAAATTTTAAATAATAGGGCAATTAAACTTCAAAAATAAAAAAGAAATAGTAAACGTCCTTTTTTTGGAGTTTCCATTGGGACAACTCTTGGTCAGCATGCACCTAAAATCATAGGATTCAACAGAAAAAATCAGCAAGGCAAAATGCTAAGTATGGCTATGTGAACCACCCCAGAAAAGTTTTGAAAAATAGGCAAAAAAACTTCAAAAATAAAAAAAAATAGTAAATGACCTTTTTTTGGAATTTTCACTGGGGAAACTCTTGATCAGCATGCACCTAAAATCATAAGATTCAATAGAAAAAATCAGCAAGGCAAAATGCTAAGTCTAGCTATGTGAACCACCCTAGAAAAGTTTGGAAAAATAGGGCAATAAAACTTCAAAAATGAAAAAGAAATAGTAAATGACCTTTTTTTGGAGTTTCCAGTGGGATAATTCTTGGTCAGCATGTACCTAAAATCATAGGATTCAAAAGAAAAAATGAGCAAGGCAAAATGCTAAGTCTAGCTATGTGAACCACCCCAGAAAAGTTTGGAAAAATAGGACAATAAAGCTTCAAAAATAAAATAGAAAAAGTAAACTGCCTTTTTTTGGAGTTTCCACTAGGGCAACTCTTGATCAGCATGCACTTAAAATCATAAGATTCAACAGAAAAAATCAGCAAGGCAAAATGCTAAGTCTAGCTATGTGAACCACCCCAGAAAAGTTTAGAAAAATAGAGCAATAAAACTTCAAAAATAAAAAAGAAATAATAAATGGCCTTTTTTTGGAGTTTCCAGTGGGGAAACTCTTGGTCAGCATGCACCTAAAATCATAATATTCAACAGAAAAAATCAGCAAGGTAAAATGCTAAGTCTAGCTATGTGAACCACGCCAGAAAAGTTTTGAAAAATAGGGCAATAAAACTTCAAAAATAAAAAAGAAATAGTAAACGACCTTTTTTTGGAGTTTCTGGTGGGGCAACTCTTGGTCAGCATGCACCTAAAATCATAGGATTCAACAGAAAAAATCAGCAAGGCAAAATACTAAGTCTAGTTATGTGAACCACCCTAGAAAAGTTTGGAAAAATAGGGCAATAAAACTTCTAAATTAAAAAACAAAT